TAAAAAGTAAAAAATTATTTACCCGGCTGGCATTTCCCTGCTGCCAGCTCTCTTCTGGCACATTATTTATCCATACCAGGAGAGGGTCAGCAGCAGGGAAATGCTGGCCGGGAAAATAATGTTTACTTTTTAAGACTTTTCGGGGAGGGGGGGATGTTGGCATCTGGGTGCCTTCTCAAGCTTTCTGGGGTGTGTGTGGATTCTAATGTGGGCCCAATCAGGTTTTTAAAACTCAATTGGGTGCTAATTAAAGTCCTGTTTGGAACTGTCCTAGGAGAGGAAATCATTGTTTCCTAACAGCCATTGCATAGTAAGCTGATGAGTCTGCTATTTTAGATGATGAGGCTGATGTGGCTGTCTTTTTAGGATGAGTTGGCTCTTAAGCTCCATTTTGCACTCTTGCTATCACAATGACAGATCTCATGAGAAGGTTCCAAGGTGAACAGTAATGTTAGTCCCCAGGAGAATGTAAAAATGCAGGCAGCTGTGTAGATCTTCATCAATATACCAATCCCCCAATTTTCATCTCCATTGGGTCTTACTTGCCTATTTAGAATGAAAATACTATGCATTGCAACAGCAAATTATTGATTGGCAAGTCCATACACACACACGTACGCACATATACTGCAACTAAGCTCAAAGATAACAGGCAAAGCCAAGGGAAATGGCAGTCAATTTCAGCATTCCTTCTCATTGTAAATCTCTGGATCTATGATCCAGTAAACCTTGACTCTGTTATTAGCCCTGGCTGCTTTATACGAGTGTGGTCAATCCCTAGATTCTCTAGCTAAAAGATCTCCATAGGTAGGTAAATGGAAAAACAGCTTATCTGGACAACCGTAGCGGAGCTGAATAGAGAATACAGTATGATCCTGTATCTGCAGGACCAGTATCTGCCATTTTGTTTACCAAGTCTGACAAAATATGTCATCTCTAAGCATTTTCTATGTCCTCAAGCACAGCCGGCAGAAGAGGAGAAAAGGGAGGCCTAAAAGCACAACTATATGATATTCTTGGTCTGCGAGTTATTAATTTCAATCATTTTTGCTTTTATCCACAGTTTTGCATATCCTTGCAAAGTCTAGGAATGTATCCTCACAGATACAGTGTCATACTATAAATGTGTACATGGATTGATTCCAAACTCTAAAAACAATAATTGTTCTTGATATCCATAGCAGCAGAATGTTAACTATGGTCCTCTATGAAGCCCTAGATCTTTAATAATAATGGAGACCCTGAGATAAAATGTACACAGGGGTGGAATAGTAGACTTCAAAGAAAATGTCAAAGAACTAAAATTTAAATCTCTCAACAGCCAATTCCTTTGGCAGACAGTTGTGCAAGTTCTGTTGGCAATATTGCTCCATTTTGTCTTATTTCTCCTCTCCCTTTCTAAATCTCAGAACAAGGGTGTAAGTCATATTTGCTAGAATGAAATATTTTCCTTATCCTGGCTGTTGAACGAGGCAATTTAATTTAAGAGGAGCAAGTGAAGGAAGCCAATGAGTAGGTTGGATTTAATTAAAAGAGGACATACGTTATCTTCCTGGATTGTAGGATATTTTCCCAATCTTTCCAGTAGGGCTTTTTGTTTTTTGGCAATGCAATAAAGGGGAGCAGCTGACAAAGACATTAAAAAGTGTCAAGGGATAAATATGGTCTGTTTTTAGTATTTTCCTCCTTTTAATTCATTTTTTGAAGCAGCGGAGTTGGGATTTTTTTTTCCTGCAGAACTCTCTCAATCCTGATGATCACAGACATCCCAAGATGATGGCTGACAACCTTGATCCCCTTTGGAAATGAAAGTATGCTTCCTTGAAACCTTTTCAAGTTAACATAGACACCCTTTTGGCTGTGATGTCAGCCACCTCAGTCCTGTTGTTTCCTCTCCAACAGCTATTAATAAAAGTACATAAGAAAAGCCCTGCTGAATCAGACCAATGGCTTACAACTCCAGCTTTCGTGTTTCCCACAATGGTCAAGCAGAAGTTTCTAAGGTGGCACTGAGGATATCAACCCACTCCTGCTGTGATGCCTTTGCACTTTTTGTTCAGAGGCCTGTTGCCTCTGACGTTTGCATTGGCCTCATGAGTAGTAGCCACTGATAGCTTTATCCTTCATGAATTTGCCTAATCTTTTTAAGCAGCCATACTCACATTTGGTAACTGCAGAGAAATACAGAAGTTGTGATTCACTACAGCTAGATTCACATCAACAAGTATTAAGCCTATTTTGTAAGTACCTTTACCGTTAGGGATTGGAAGTTGGATGGTATGATTGAGTGTTGGGTTTATCTTATTTAGCATTTTGGCTCTGGTTCCCTTTTGAAGATGACATGTGGAATCTATTGAACTAAAACAGTATATAGGCATACATCAATTAACAATACTTCTGAAAAGGTGCTTTTCTACAGTGACCCCAAACACCAAAATGGACCAAAAGTTGAGATTGCCTTTGAAGACTGTTCAAAAACTTCAAAGTAGTCCAACAGGTAGCAGCCAGGTTCCTTACTGGAGTGTGGTACAGGGAGCATGCAACCCCCCCCCCCCTTATTGCATCAGTTCCACTAATTGCCAGTCTGCTACTAAGCACAATTCAAAGTGCTGGTTTTAACTTATAAAGCCCTAAATGGTTCCAGTCCAGCTTACCWCTCTGAACGTAGCTACTTCTATGATCCACCTCAGAAGCTAAGATCGTCCGGGGGGGGGGGGGGCTGCTCGCATGTACTCRAGACAWGACACAGGGCCTTCTCAGTGGTGGCCCCTTGGCTATGGAACTCCCTCCCCAGTGAAATTAAATTAGCTCCTTCGCTCCTGACCTTCAGAAAGAAACTGAAGACATGTATATGGGACCAAGACTTTGGACAGCAATTCTCAGTTTACGATCAGAATGGCTTCTGGAATATGCCTTTGGATTGTGTGGTTTTAATTAACTTGTTTTAAGATTGAAATGTTTTAATTATTTGGTTTCAATGGATATGTTTGGTTTTATCCTATGTATGTATATGTGACATTGAATTGTGTTTGTTTTGTGAGCCTGCCCTGAGTCCCCTTCAGAGTGAGAGGAGCGGGATACTGTCATCCACTTTTAAAACTATTGTTTCTGTTACTGTTATTTTGTTTGTGTATTTATTATTTGTGTTTAATCAACAAGTTTAAACCTGTCATATTTCAAGCTAGCAAAAAGAATTTTAAAGGATTTTAAACCACAGTCATGTGTAGATGGGGAAAATCAATTGGACCCCCGAGGATTTTATAAAAAAAAACTGTGTTTTTACTTGACAACAGAATGATACAAGTGTTGGTGTCAATCAGCCCTCTACAATGAGGGTATTCCACAAGCAGTGTGTCACAAGAGAGAAGGGTCTCTGGTTCTCTGGACATCAGATATAGTTTAGTAGTAAGATAAACTGGCTATCTGTAATGACTGTAGTGATCCATACTTCTATAGTTTGTAATAAAAGGTTAGTTAGGCACAGGTCAGGGATTCTTTAAGTGCAGGACAGTCTTGTCTTAAAGCTAGAGGTTGGGCATGCTGTTCCTTCTCTCCTATTCCAATTATGTGAAATTGTATTAGTTTTTCCTTCAGTCTCCTGAAATTATAAATCATTTGGAAGCAGAAGAAATGAAGTCAATGGCTAGAATCTAGTCGGTTAGTCCCAATTAGAGTAGATCCATTGTGTCAACAGTTGAATTGTGAAACAACACATAAGTGAATCCCATTGATTCAACAGGTGTACTTTAACTGAGAATAAGAATAGAATTAATCCTGACTTCAGCTACTAAAGTAAACATAGAATGTGACTACACTACACTGTTGTATTGATTTAATCATTTAATCCTGCCTGCAGGAGCCCCCGGTGGCGCAGTAGGTTAAACCCCTGTGCCGGCAGGACTGAAGACCGACAGGTCGCAGGTTCAAAACCGGGGAGAGGCAGATGAGCTCCCTCTATCAGCTCCAGCTCCTCATGCAGGGACATGAGAGAAGTCTCCCACAAGGATGATAAAAACATCAAATCATATGGGTGTCCCCTGGGCAACGTCCTTGCAGACCCAATTCTCTCACACCAGAAGGGACTTGCAGTTTCTCAAGTTGCTCCTGACATGACAAAAAAAAATCATTTAATAGTGATGTCTTCATCCAAACTGGTTCCACCCAGTAGTTTCAGCTTCCGTGCTTCCATCTTCTGGAATCCTGCATTTTGTCACTTTGTTTTTGGAGCTCTCTGCAGTAGTTCAGTGGAGTGGACCAGAGCTCTTTAACAAAGAAATCTAATTATTCTACCAATCATGAATCATAGGATTCCATAGGATAGACCCATGGCAGTTAAAGTAGTATTAGGCTGTTGTAACTGTGTCTTAGTTTGTTTGGATAATTAATTCCTTAAATTCTTTGCCCAGGGCACCTCTTGCTTTTTCCATTGTTATATATTCCATTGCATTGTACTGAACTGTCTAGATGTCTGTTCGCACATTTTTTTTGTATCACAGCTCTTGGCTGTTTAGAAAGAGTTATGATTCAATTAAAAGCGAGAGAGAGAAAAAGATTAACAGATGCCACTGTTATTATTTGTTTTCCCTCAAGCAGTGTGGTAGGATATAGGTCTTGGCCCCTGATGTTTCGTCTGTTCTGCAAACAGATGAATGGCAGGGGATCATTCACTTCACAAGACCTTTCCCACCATCTCCATAAGTGGGGGAAAAATTGCCAGCCCAAATTCTCAGTGTGATGTAGATAATAGAAACACAGGCACCGTTTGAGGAGACAAATATCGAGCCAGTTTAGCTACAATTTGGACACATGAGGCTTTTCAAACGGTGCTGGCCATTGCTTCCCATAATCTCTGAGCGCCAGTCATGCTGGCTGAGTCTGCTGGGAGTTGGAGTATCAAACGTTTCTCATCCTCTACAATGCAGCAAGTGCTATTTTGCGCTGTTGTTACTGTGTCCTTCCAGAAATTCATTGCTAACACCCACTTTACCTTTATTTTGCAGTTGTCCAGCACATCAAGCGACACAATATTGTTCTCAAAAGAGAGCTGGGAGAAGGAGCCTTTGGGAAAGTCTTCTTGGCAGAATGTTATAATCTGTGCCCTGAGCAAGACAAGATCTTAGTTGCAGTGAAGGTAAAAAGTCTGCATCTCTATGATTAACACAGTTCATATAATCCTTAAAGAGAATGTTTGAATAGGGCTTTATCACAAACTCTGTTTGTAGCAGTCTATACTTGCCAGCCCTGGCCTCAGTTTGGTGTGTTCAGCAGAAAGTGTAAGCATAACCCTACTTATGTACAAGTCTAGTGGTTCATGAGATCTGAGACCCATGTTTCATTAGTTCCCATTTCAGTGGAAGGGTCTAAGCCAAAGCTTTCCAAAGTGTGTGCCACAACATGTTAGTGTGCCTGCTGCAGTATGTAAGGTTGTTACACAAACATAATGAGAAACTTGGTTCCCATGTAAGCTACTCCCTTTGGGGAGATGGTGGTGGGATACAAAAATAAAGATTATTATTATTATTATTATTATTATTATTATTATTATTATGTTATATTTTTATTATTATTAAGTTATATTGCTATTGTTATTATTATTATTAAACTTCAGAATCTATGTGAAATAAGCAGGAAATCATATATTTTTAAAAATATAAATGAAAGATTTTCATAAGATATTTTGTGTCCCCATATAATTTGTTATTGCAATTTATGTATCTGTCTATATCTCTTATAAGCAGTAGGTTTAGTAGTAAAATGGAATTACTATGTTTTGAAATGATACATCTCTAAAAAGGTATGTCACCAACATGAAATGTTTGGAAAGCTCTATGCCATCAAGTGGACAATGTTTAGGTCTCCTTTTATGTCCCTGGTGAAAAAAGGAAAATGTGGACAGAAACAGTGTGTATGGCATTACTGCTCCCCACACCCACCTGCACACCTTCAAGGAATACAATCAGAAGGCATGGGCAGGACTACAGTGCATAAGATTTGACAGATCTGGAACTCTCACTTTGTAGTTAAGCTTTATCTCTCACTCAAACTTTCTTTGTTGTTAATAGTCTAGCTGTCAGCTTGATACAGAGATGAAATATAAGAGCACAAATAATGCAAGAAGAATCTGGTCTCCCTCTCATGCAATGTAGCCCTGTACATGTTTACCAAGGAGTAAATCCTAACTGAAACAGAGATCAAGGGTATATTCATTCATTTTGCATCTTAGTAGAATCTTCCTTAATTCATAATTTTGAAAACAGCATGCAAAATGAACATGCATTATGTATCCAAATTCATGTTTCTGAAATTTGTAGTGCACTCTCCAACTGAAATAATGTAAAAACTGTATGTGTTCGTGGTATTGTGTACATTCATGAAAACAACATACAAAAATTCATTGGGGTTGGGGGGAGGGGGGAATTACTTGCAGAAATGCATACATATTAGACCAAATCACCCTCCAGAAAAAAAATATACACCAAAACATTTTGTAGCAACTTTGAAAAATCTCAACTAGGAAAATGAGAAAGTGAGTGAAACCGAAATTGGCGAAGTTGATAACCATAAAAAATGAGGCTTAATTCTCAATAGCCATGCATCGTATTGAACTGTTAATCTAAGAGCTGTTCTCCTCCTTCCTTTCCTACAAGATTGGTTGGTTGGGTTCTTTGTTTTTTCTGGCTGCAGTGAACATTTTGTCAGTAATATGTCCATTTCTGAAAGATTTTAAGGGAAGAGGATTCTGTGCAAGTTTCCCCAATAGGAAGCATCATGTCAGTCAATGTCTGAGTGTTGTCATTATTTCTTTTCATTCACAGGGTCTTTGACATGCCTCTCGGTTGGTTGCTGGGCAACCTTGACAGGCATTGTGTATACAGGTTAGGAAATAGTGGTTATTAGACCCTGTGGGAAAGCAAAAACTCAAAATGCTATACAGGATAGGAGATAGCAGGGTGAGGGATGACAAATATTCTTACTTCCCCTTGATGAATGACTTACGAAGAAAAGTTAATGAAAATATCTGGATTTATATAGAAAGAGGACCAATATACATGCCCACACATGCAGCACTGTTTAACTGTTTGGGAGGGGGAACCATGGCTTGCATTTTTTTAACTTTCAATTTGTTTGGAAAGAGCCTTGGCAGTGTGCAGTCTTTCTGGAACAGGACTGAACTGGGATTTAAGGACACGTAGGACCACTATTAGCCCCCAAAAGGAAGGAGAGGTGGGAGTTAGAGCTAAGAGAAAATAGCCTCCCAAAATTCTCTATCCTGTTTCTGCGTGAATCAAATAGCCAAAAGTGGGAGCTATTTTTCTCAGTATTGGGAGGGAGCTGTGTGTTTTTTGCTTTTATTGTATTTTAATTTTTATGCTTTATGACCCAAAATATTTGATTGTTTTTTAATTTAAAATTCATATTTTTGTGTTTTTCAAATTTGTGTTGTATCATGCATCATGTTTGCTATTAGCTGCCTTAAGTCCCTATATCAGGAAACTTAATAAGAAAAACAAAAATGAGAATAAACACAATATTCTTGAAGGGAGAGAAGATGGACTCACCGAGGACGCTTGATGCTCAGGTGTCGGTGTTAGCCAGGAGAGCCTTTGCACAGTTAAAGCTTGTGCGCTAGCTGCAGTCATACCTCAAGAAGCTGGACATGGCCATCGTGGTCCATGCCTTGGTTACATCCCGATTATTGCAATGCACTCTATGTGGGGCTGCCTTTGAAGACGGTCCGGAAATTGCAGTTGCTACAAAGGTTGGCGGCCAGGCTTCTAACTGGAGCTAATTATAGGGAGCCCCTGCTGAGGCAGCTCCACTGGCTGCTGATAAGTTTCTAGTGCCAATTCAAGGTGCAGGTTATGACCTACAAAGCCGTAAATGTTCGGGCCCTGCCTTTGTGATTGCATCTCCCCCTATGAACCGGCATGGGCTCTAAGATCTGCTGGGGAGGCCCTCCTCTCACTTCCTCCTCTGTCACAAGCACGGTTGGTGGGGATGAGGGAGAGGGCCTTCTTGGTGGTGGCCCCTCAACTTTGGAACAGGGAAATTAGGCAAGCCTCCACACTGCCCCCCTTCTGTAGGGACATGAAAACCTAGATGTTCCAGCCGTTTTTCAAGAATGATTAGTCCCCAGGCCCAGTCCTTATGTTGTCAGTTAGTACTCTGTTCTGCACTTTCTTCACTTCTCTGGCTTTATGATACAATGTTGGCACTACCCCTTGCCCATGCCCATTTTGTAGTCCTAGCCATTGGTTTTATTGAACCTTGTCTGATGGAGTTATAATTGAATTTTTTATTGTAGTGTTACAGTATGATTTTTGTGTTTAATGATGCTTTTATTTTAATCTGTTTGTATTATTTTCTTCTTGGCAATTGAATGTTTTGCCTTATATGTTGGAAACCACCCTGAGTCCCTTTGGGGAGATAGAACAGTATACAAATAAATTATTATTATTATTATTATTATTATTATTATTATTATTTTCTCTAACAGTTCCTTGGGAATAAAGCTTACTGCTGGCAGTGACAGCAACAGAGCTTGTGTCATTGTTGTTGTGTTGTTGTGATAGTAATATAGTTGTGGTGGTGATTTTACTTCCAAGCCACAACTACAGCAATTGTGCAGGAAGCCTGGGCATTGTTTTTCATCCTCAGAATGCCTCACATATAGTGTCATTCCAGGACACTGTTGGTGTGGAAAGGATGTAATGCCATTGTTGTTTTTGTTATTGTGTGCCTTCAAGTTGTTTTCGACCTAGGACAACCCAAAGGTGAACCTATCACAGGGTATCCTTTGCAAGATTTTCTTCAGAAAAGGTTTGACATTGTCCTCCCCTGTGGCTGAAAGACTGTGACTTGCCCAAGGTTACACAGTAGGTTTAATACCCATGACCATAACCCTTACTCACATATGCATTTCCCATAGCCTTTAATGAAGATGTGGTTTGACTATTCTGGGAACTATGTGTGGCAAATAAAAGAGGACATTCTAAAGATAGCTGCAGCAGTTCTCCACCATCATCTAGATGTTTGGGCTTTGAGACATTTTACAATTGGGTATTTCACCAATAAAGTCAAGATCTAGAACTCAGATACATCTCAGGGCCCTTTCACACAGCCCTATACCCCAGAATATCAAGGCAGAAAATCCATAATATATCCTTTGAACTGGGTTATCTGAGCACACTCAGATAATGTGGGATTTTCTGCCTTGATATTCTGGGATGTAGATCTGTGTGGATGGGCCCTCCGTGATCAAAAGCTAAAGTTCACTGTCCTATCTTGCAGGTTCCATCAAATTTTATTATCAGTAGTTTAGGCTCCACAAAAGCTTCTATTTGTTTTCCAAATGATATTTTATTATCATTTCTTCTTCAGTGTATATATGAAATTCTCCCCATCCTAAATGCTAGGGGCATTTAATATCTCTATGTTTAAGCACAATATTTCTCAGCAGAAAGGTCAACATGCTATTGAAGTCAACATTAAATATATCAATAAAAATATTGCTGAAGGAAATTGGCATCATGTAAGAGCGCAATTAACAGTAGAAAAATGGAGTTTATCCCTATTGCACTATAATAGTACTTTAACTGCCTGGAAAGAATCATATTAATTGGTGGGATTTATAGTTTCTTGAGGAAGTTAGAATTTTCTGTTACATAGTTTTAGTGCTATGTCCCTGAACTATTGAAGTAGAAGTTTATTGTAGAAAAACTTAAGTATATTTGGCCCCACACATCCATGGGTTCAACCATCCACAGCTTGAAAAAAATTGTTTTAAATGCTTGATTTTGCCATTAAATATAAGGTATACAATTGTATAAATTCATTATATCTAATCAGGCTTGAGACTTTACAAGTTTACAGATCAAACTGGAGCAGATACCAATATACTCCAATAAACTACAAATTCCCCTCTCTTAGCAGAGAATACCAAGTATGTCACCAAACTACAGATACCAATGTACAATAAAGCCATAACAAAGAGGTATAGAATGCTTATAACTGTATAATATACTCAAAAGCTTTGGTTTTCTATGATGACAGGGACTTCAGTAATAATAAAAACCCCAAAGTTCATACTTATGATTCAACAATCCTCAACTTTATCATTTTTCCTGCTATAAAAGAAATTCAGTTGCCATGCTTCTGAAAATGTTTGTAGCATTTCTCTCCATTTTGCTGGATTCTTTTCTTTGTAGACGCTAAAAGATGCAAGCGACAATGCCCGCAAAGACTTTCACCGAGAAGCAGAACTACTGACCAATTTACAACATGACCACATTGTGAAGTTTTACGGGGTATGTGTGGAGGGAGACCCTCTCATCATGGTCTTTGAATACATGAAGCATGGAGACCTCAACAAATTCCTGAGGTAAATTTCACAAAAGATTTCATTCTAATCATGTACAGAAATGGGATGTGCACCCAGAGAGGGAGGTTGCATTAATCTGCTTATATTTCTCAAAATCCAAGAATTTCTTCTATCTAAAAAGACTTAATGGAGTGTGTACGACAAACACATGTCTACTAATTTTCAAAACCTAGTCCAGGTATCACCAACCAAAGATGTCGCAAAAAATCAATTCCTAAATCCCAGTCCTTAGCTTGATCTTAAACTGAGCATACGTTTGCAAGTAAGGAAGGTTAAATTGGGTTCCTGTGAGTTTCTGGGCTGTATGGCCATGTTCCAGAAGCATTCTCTCCTGATTTTTCACCCACATCTATGGCAGGCATCTTCAGAGATTGTGAGGTCTGTTGGAAATTAGGCAAGTGGGATTTGTATATCTGTAGAATGCCCAGGGTAGAAGAAAGAAAACTCTCGTCTGCTTGAGGCAAGTGTGAGTTTATTGGAGTATATTGGCCACCTTGATCAGTATCGAATGGCTTGTAGCTTCAAAGTCTGGTGATTGCTGTTTGGGGGGTCCTTTGTTGGGAGGTGTTTGCTGGCCCTGATTGATTCTTGTCTGAAATCCCCCTGCTTTTTGAGTGTTCCTCTTTATTTATTATCCTGATTTTAGAATTTTTTAAATACTGGTAGCAACATTCACACTTCCCTCAAGCAGACAAGAGTTATTTCTCCCACCCTGGACATTCCACAGACATATAGATCTCATTGGCCTAGTTTCCAACAGACCTCACAATCTCTGAGGATGCCTGCCATAGATGTAAGCAACATGTCAGGAGAATATGCTTCTGGAAAACTCATAGCAATCTAAAGACTCCGGTCATGAAAGCCTTTGACATATATCCCCAATCCTATATGTGACTTCTGGTTTCAATCCTTTAAACTTGTTGTTAATTCTGGCTAATGGCAACTCTGAGACAAGCCTATCACATGAATTTCACAGAAATAAGCAAGTGTTTGCCTTTGCTTTTTTCTGAGACTGTGAGAGTATTACTTGCCTAAGCTCACCTAGTAAGTTTTGAACTTTGATCTCTAGAGATGTAGCAAATGCTCAAACTACTGCTCTTTAATACCCTACCAATATTAATTAAAACGGAGCACAATTTTGCTAATTATGGGGAAAGGAATAAGAATGGAACAAAGTTAAAGTATCATGTCAGCCTTTGATGTTAGTATTTATGGGATTGGTAACATGGAAATATGCACATCCTTGATATTTGATGAATTGTTCTCAAATGCCAGGATCTAAGGCCTCTTCTACATTGTTAGATAATCCAGGATATCAAAGCAGAAAATCCACATTATCTGATTTAAACTAGATTGTCTTAGGGTCCTTCCAGACAGGCCCTATATGCCAGGATCTGATCCTAGGTTTTCTGCATTAAACTGGATTATGTGAGTCTCCACTGCCAGATAATCTGGGATAAACATCAGATCCTGAGATACAAGGCCTGTCTGGAAGGGCCCTTAGTCTACACTTGCCATATAATCCAGCTCAAAGCAGAAAATATGGATTTTATACAACTGTGTAGAAGAGGTCTAAGACTATCCACTCCAAGCACATAGTACAGTAAGACATACCTGTATCCATGGGGTCTACATACTTGGCCAGACATTGGTTAACTAAAGCACGGATATGATTTAATTGGCCTGACATCTGGTCCTGGTATACCATAGTGTTGCTCTGGAGGACCAAGCAAATCCCTAGAGAACAATCCTATCTAGGAATATTCTAGGTCCTACAGTGCAAATTCCAAGGAAAACATACCATAGAATCACCTGGATGACACAGCTAAATCCTAGAGTAACCAATTTACAGGTACGTGAATCTGTGGATATGGCTTCTGCAGTTACTGGGGTCTTATTGCATTACCTGTGGACAAATCAACCGGGGTTTGGGATTGAGTACAATTACTTATGTTTCATTCAATGGGATATTCTAGTCTATGAGAGTCCTTCGCCAGTTTTGTGGAATCCTGGGCAAGTGTCTTTTCTCCTTCCTTTCTGCTGCCAAATGTTGCGCCAGAGAAAGTACAATGACTGGGCTTTCACTGTGGCCACAAGTTTCACGTTTGCTTATCTTCAGCAGAAATAAAAGCCTCAAACCACATGCATAAGCATTTAGATATAGCCATATACGGTTATGTGAATTCAATTAGATTGGAGAGACAGGACTTCAAGATCCTATTTCCTCCCGTTTGCACATTTACTGTACATGCAGTTGATATCTGAGCCGTGCTTATCTTTCTTAATTGGCTATCAGCATTTCTAATCGGAAAGGCCATGAGTACATCCATACACAGGACTCCTTCTGTGCTTTGTGTTTCAAGAAGCCCTTGTAGATGATTACACTCCCCACACTGTGGTCCTTGGGTGGTAATACATAACTGTATTAAGCAGTACTGTTTTTGATTCTTAAAAGCCAGGCATCATTTCTATAGGAGCGAAGACCATGCTTACCTGGGACTAAATCCAAGGATCTAAGTGTTGAACTGCCATCTTATAAAGATATCTGTGGTATTTATAGAGAGATGCTGCTAATAGATCCACTGTGAATTAGTGGAAAGGGACAGCCTCCCACAATTGAATGCATGCATTAAAAATTAATTATAATGGCACCCATTTAATAGCAATTGAAGCTAGTTCATTTATAGTTTCTGCTATGATGTTGTGTTCTGCCTCTCTCATTTTTGTTCAGAACTACACTTGAGCAATTTATGTTGCTGCTGTTGCAAGTGTGTGTGTGTGTGTGTGTACACACACACACTTAACATGATACAATTGCATTATTATATTGACTATTCCCAGCTCTATACTCCCCCAATTCCGCCCCATCATACACATAATTTTATACAAATACAGCTCTGTCAGTTCACTTGCTTTTAGTGATTCTAATTTTATCTATTACATATAGTTCTTGTGGTATGTTTTTCTAATTGTTCATCCATAAGTGTTGTCTCTCATATGTAGAATATAGGATTACTCATTTCAAAAACCCCTAAGTCTCTTTAACTTGAACTGAAAGCTGGCATTCTTCTGCTGTTTGACACAGCTTATGATGTAGTAGATGAAAGATTGCACATAATCAGGAGCTCAAGGAAGGCTTATTTCTTACCCTGCAGCGCCTCCCAAGGCCACCGAGAGAAAATAAATCCTTGTAGCCTAAACCTGTCTCTCCTCAGCCCTGCAATGTCTTGCAGAAAGGCCTCAAATTTCAGGTCAGGATTTGAAGGTCAGGAAACCTTCCTGAACAGTAGGTAGCACTTAGGTTGAAGGAAAGATGTGTGATAGAAGAATTAATGCTGTCATGTAGAGTTGCTTTCCCCTCTAAATTGAAATTGGTCAGTCAAGAATAAAGAGAGCTAGTGCTCTAACCCTCCTAACCCTCCAAAAGTAAGATCTTAGTTGATGGTGCCTAGTAGTTTATTTACAGAAGCCTTCCACAATGTAGATGTCTTGGGTTATGGGCATTGTAGTCCAACAGATCAAGCAGGTGTTAAGCTGGGAAATTTTGATTTAAGCCTATGGCTAAGATCCTATGGCAAAATGTGGTGTAATAGTTTTGCATGCAGAACTGCATTATAGGTGGCCATTCAACACCTCCTGGATATTCCATTAAGCTGCTATTGAGCAGGCCATCTTCTGCTATTCCATGGATGGTAAAGGCAAAGATTGGAAAGGTATCTGGTTGTGCCCCTGTAGACAGATGCAGAATGATTAGATCATCTGCTGAGGTTCCATCAGAATCCCCAGAAGTTCTCATCTGATAATGTGCCTAACACTGGAAACACAGCCAGATACTTCTCCACTTCCTCCACCCATCTTTGGAAAGGCCACAGGGGCACAGCAGCTCAGTGGTACATTTGTGGGTATTAAAAGTCTTTGGTGTTGTAGAATGAAGAAGGTAATATCAACCTCCAAACAACAAAAAAAAAATAAGATATGTACTGGTGTAGAATGGACTTGAGATGCAAGTCACAGTATGATGATGTACACAGACTCCAGAAGCAATGCAGCCACATAATGTGCCTTTTTCTGGATGTCTGAAGCTTGCCCAACACAATCAAATGGGGAATTTTTCAAGGAAGAGATACTATATCAGTTCCAGATGCATAGTTGCATAATACTATATGTGACACCGGAGTGACTGGGGTTACACGATGTGACAGGAATGACACGTGGCTAGAATGACTGAGCCAACTTCTCTCCTCAAAGTTATTTTATCCTCTGTGTAACTTTCTACATTTGCATAACCTTCCAGGTCTAGTCTTTACTACCAAAGAATTAGAATGAGGTTGCATTCGTTTTGCAGTGCAAAAGCAAGGGCCATCACATCAACCTACCTACCTATCTGTCATCTATCTTTCTATTTATTTTTGGACCAGTATGTGCAGTGCTATACATCTTTAGAATCTGCACATCTATAGATATTTTCACATAGTCATCTCGGCATAGGTAAAGCACTTTAAAAGCAGAGATTTAGGGCTTTATCAGACTGGCATTTTAAGCAGGCACCCCCTCTTTCTTGGTGTCTTCTGTCTCCTGCAGAATTCTGGGAAATGTAGTTTAGGGCGGGGTGTTTGGAATTCTCAGCTAGAGAGGCCCTTGCCTTTCCAAACTACATTTCCCAGAGTATTGCAGGAGATAGAAGACACCAAGAAAGCGGAGGTGCCCTCTTTAAAACGCTAGTCTGATAAAGCCCATAGTGGCTTCCAGGTTATAGCAAGCCATTACTTTTTAGCAGTTACTTTCCAAGTCAGAGACATCATTATTTTGGTAAGAGGTTCCCATAATTGTGGAGCACAGCTCTAGAATTTTAAAGCAGACATGTTTAATGCACACAAATCAGAAGTTAATATCACAAAATCCACTCTTTGGATTTCAGCATTTGCTTTTCCTGATCAGCAGTGCCTTGTGGTTCTCCTTTATCTTTCTGTGTGTTTTTTGCTGTTTTTCTGTATTCAACAATTCTTTCTTGGGGAAAAAATCTTCATGTAAAAAAAGACGGACAGAAGGGATTGAATGCAATTTGCTTCATTTAAATTACTCCAGTTTTGGTTGCAGTTTTGAGGACATTTCTTGTCTTTGCCCAAAATAAGCGACCTCAAGGCCAGTGCACTGTAATGTCAGAAGCAGAGCTTGGAAAGGTTTACTAAGGGGTACTACGCCTTGTAATGGGGCTGTGGTGCCACAGTGGGTTAAACTGCTGAGCTGCTGAACTTGCTGATCAGAAGCAAGGTCCATGGGGTGGCGTGAGCTCCCACTGTTAGCCCCAGCTTCTGCCAACCTAGCAGTTTGAAAACATGCAAATGTGAGTAGATCAATAGGTACCGCTCAGACGGGAAGGTAACGGCGCTTCATGCAGTCATGCTGGCCACATGTCCAAGGAGGTATCTGTGGACAATCCCCCAGAAGCAGACATGACTAGACCTAATGTCAAGGGGAAATATTTTACCTCTACCTTATGCCTTGTAACAGGAACAGCAAACTGCGCCCCTCCCTTAAAAAAAACTTTTCCCAGGTCTGGTCAGAAAACACAAGGTCAATGTGGAAAAGCTAGGATGGATATATTCCATTCTTATCTTTCTCCTTTTGTCTTGAATCCTGTGATTTATCAGTAGAGGAGAGAAGCCAAGTTGTCTTCCTCTAAAATAGTCAGAAATACAATAACTGTCCTGCAAGCCATTAAGAATAGCAAAACTAGCCTTGTGCTATAATGCTTGTCACTTGTATACAATCATTCTCACTGTCACAGATCTCCCAGAGTATGTTCTATGCCTTGTTAAGGATTATTATCTGATTGTGAACAGAAACCTGTTTTACCTCTTAACAATCCATGTTTTTTCCTATTCACTAATGGAAGCAAATGGCCTTTCCTGATTTGCTTTCATTATCTTGGCAAGAATGCTGTCATCGCTGCCCTCTTATTTGAACTGTTTTGTAGCTTGGCAGAGGTTGCAGACATCCGTAGAATCAATGTCAAATAGGACCTGGAGTAAACAAAACAAATATACAGATCTCAATATGTTCTGGAAAGGATGAGAATGGTAACAAATGTATTTGTATCATCCAGTTTCTCATCGCTTACCACACATAAAAGGAAAAGGAAATGAAAATACATTTCATGATACCGCTTCAAAATTATTTCTTACATTGATATTTCTCATTTTCCCCAACAAGTCTAAGGTGGCTATAGAATGGTTCCAAACAAGTTTCTGAGGTAGATGGGCTGGACATCCAGCAAGATCTAGAAAGCCATATGTTTACTACCACTAGAATTAGACCTATTTATGCACAATGTCTGGCTCGGTAACAACAGCACAGATTGAAAGTACTTTGCTTTTGTTAGTACAAGGTCTGTTAACTCAGACCATGATATTTTCATACTACCACTCCATATCCGGAATATTTAATCTGAGAAAAAACTATAGGTACAGAGTAGAGAAGACATGGAAAGAAACAAAGACCCCCATCTACATTGCCATTTGATGCAGTTTGAAACTGGATTATATGGTCATTCTAGACCAGGGGTCATCAAACTAAGGCCTGGGGACCAGATACGGCCCTGCAAGGTCATTTACCCGGCCCTCGCTCAAGGTCAACCTAAGTCTGATACGTCTTGAAAGCACACAACAACAACAACAGCAACAACAACAACAACAACAACAATCCTATTTCATCAGCCAAAAGCAGGCCCATTGAAATACTAATAAGCTTATCTTTATTAAAATTGTTCTTCATTTTAATTATTGTATTGTTTTAAAGTGTTTTTGCACTACAAATAAGATATGTGCACTGTGCATAGGAATTCATTCTTTTTTTTCCAAATTATAATCCAGCCCTCCAACAGTTTGAATTTATTTGGTCCCATCTACACTGCCATATTATGCAATTCAATGCAGTTAAACTGCATTACATTAGTCTAGAGCAGAGGTTACCTGGCCCTCTGTTTAAAAAGTTTGTGGACCCTTGCTCTAGATGAATGTAATGCAGTTTAACTGCATTGAATTGCATAATATGGCAGTGTAGATGGGACCAAATAATTCTGGTATCTATGGCTCTTTGATCTTCAATTCCCACTGGGATCTAATCATTGCTCCTAAGTGTGTTCTCTACTATTAAGGTTGGTTCTTATTTGCAGGAAATGTCTAATTTGGGTCTCCTAACATTGTTATCTGTTCAATGCAGGGCACATGGACCTGATGCAGTTCTGATGGCAGAAGGTAATCTTTTGGCAGAGCTAACCCAATCACAGATGTTGCATATTGCCCAGCAGATTGCGGCAGGCATGGTTTACTTAGCATCACAGCACTTTGTGCACCGTGACCTCGCCACTCGGAATTGCCTGGTTGGTGAAAACCTGCTAGTGAAGATTGGAGATTTTGGGATGTCCAGAGATGTGTACAGCACAGATTACTATAGGGTAAGAGATCTGTTGCTTTTAATATCCGTAGCTTTGGTTTTTTATTTTGCTGCAGCTACTGATCCTGGAGTCTGTCTTGCAACATGTTCCTCTTATTATTAGCAGGGTTGAGTTTCAAGTCCCTTGAGAAATGCCTGCTGTTGAGGGCTTCAATTGTATTATATTTATTTGACTTCTATCTGGGAGGTCTAGGTTAAAATCCAAGTTAATGTGAGTTTTCTGGGCTGTATGGCCATGCTCCAGAAGCATTTTCTCTTGATGTTTCACCCATATCTATGGCAAGCATCTGCAGAGGTTGTGAGGTTTGTTAGGAACAAGGCAAGTGGGGTTTATATATCTGTGGAATGTCGAGGGTGGGAGATATATCTGTGATACATTCCCCAGATATATAAACCCCACTTTCCTTGTTTCCAACAAACTTCAAAACCTCTGATGATGCGTGCCATAGATGTGGGTGAAATGTCAGGAGAGAATGTTTCTGGAACATGACCATACAGCACAGAAACTCACAACAATCCAGTGATTCTGGCAATGAAAGCCTTCAATAACACCTAAGTGAAAATCACTTCTCATAACTGAACTGAAGACCATTGAGCAATTCATTAACTATTAGACAAGTCTTTCTATTTGTGAAACATAAATATGGATTGTAGATTGATTTATTTGTTTTTGATTCCATGTTTTAATGTTAAATGAGCTTGTGTTTTATGATTTAATTGACAATTGCATGTTATTATCGTTATCTTAGGTTTCTGTATGTGAGGCATTAAATTTTGCCATAATTATGTTGGAAACCACTTTGAGTCTCCCACTGGGGTGAGAAAAGCGGTATACAAGTGAAGTAAATAAATAAATAAATGTAGATTGTCACTATGTAAATGCTTTTAAAATTAAGACACTTTTAAAGGGGTGACAGCTAGCTCTGCACAATATACAAAAATGCAGCTTTGGTGGCCACAAAATATGTAGTACTGACTACTAAATCCATGGGGCCAACAGGAGGAATGTCTGGTCTCTTTCCCTTGCTTATGCATTAACTTGGATTATCCCTATGTTGAGCTATTGGACTACAGTACTCCTCTGACCTAATGTGGTGTCCATGAGTTTAATTTAAAAACTCCAAGCAATCTTTTTTCTCTCTTCATCAGTAGCTTACAAGTTTCTTCTAAGGGCTGAGAGCTTATCGACAGACTTGTATGACCTGAATAAGGAAAAGGCATTTTTCAACAAATGCTGATTGCTCAGTTTGATCTGTCACATTGATTTTTATAAAAACTGGCAGAATACTCATAGCCACCCTATCTAGCCTGAAATCTGGAGAGACCAGATCTTACTGAAAGGAGGTGGCAGCAGAGTTAATTAAAGAGACATGCCATAGTTGACAGTTAATAGTTTGCTTTTTAATGAGAGGCTTGCTTCTAGTATTAGTATTTGGTGCTCTGTCTTCTTTTCTCAGTGTCTGCCTTCTGATGATGACATAATTCTGTCCTTGTGTATTTGTCTGAATTCTGAACTCATTGTAGAGCAGGGTTAAGTCATTGCTTCTGAACCAATTTGTTAAATATACAAGGGATTTGGAGAAGATAAAAGCTTGAATGCAAACTGATTATTTATGGCTGTCTTTGTTGTTACTTCCTCTAATGAGGCAAGTGGCTGTGGTTATTGCAAAGAAGCGAGTCATGGGCTAATGGCTTTGATCTCTAGTAAATGAAAGGTCATGTCCATATGGCACTATGGTCAGAACATTTAACCATCTCTGCCAGCTCATTCTTTATTTAGTGGGATGACTCTGTGAGAGGACAGAACCTATTTTCAGCAGCTCTATTATCTGAGACAGCAGGCTTCAAAAGTGAATTGTTACATATGGTTAGTGGCAAGTCAGAGGAAATGGCACACAAGGACAGTATTTATTTTCATACAGCTGTTTTTATTAGGAACCAAGGAGAAGACTTTTATTTTGTTTTGCATTGTCTGTTTGTTGCTTCGTTAATCCAGACCCAGCAATTAAAAAAAACATCTGAACTAGATTTTTGTCATATGTTGTCTTTTGGAACCGTAGGGTTTCCAAGCCACTTGATTACATCACATTATACAAGGGAACTTGGGATGGAGAAGACAAACTGATTTGCAACTGTGTGTGGAAAAAGCTTACTATTACCTTGTTTAAATCTATTTCAGTAGGTACCTTAAATGGAGTCTTCATCCCAGATGTTTTTAGACTCAAATTTTGTGTCATATTTGTAGTTTTGACAAGCAATACTTCCTGTAGGGCAGAGATAAGGGAGATGACAGCCTGTAGTACAGTTGTGGCCCCTGAACCCTACTTTTTGTGCCCAAATACTTGGCAGTTCCTCCAATTCTCTTGAATCACCTCCAAAATTTGATTGTTTTTAGGCTGATTTTCATGCAAAATTTCAGACCAAAATGTCAGAAACCACCTAAAAAATCTGAAAGTTTAGCTCTTTTCCAAATCTCCACAACTCCTGATTGAAGGATAATAGCTGAAACCTTGTATCAGCAGTGGCTGCTGAATCTGTTGTCAGTCAGGTAGTGAAAATTTGGGTTTTACACAGAATTTCATATGTGTTTACTACGGTGCTAAATCTGTTTGTGGAATACTTGAATAGCTTCTTTAAGGTTCAGACTAAACACTGAGTAGGTTCACTATCCACTGACATGGAAACTATCAGTTCACCACAGCAATGCATATTTGGCAATTAGAGATTGGGGAGTTGATTGAAAATCTTTCCTTTTCATCCATTCCTTGTCCACCACTTTTTCACTTCAATATACACAGCAGAGCATGAGGCAATAGAACAGGGTACAATACGATCCAGCACTTGAATCAAGGGAAGGTTCTTCCCCATCATACAGAAATTTCATTAGATGTCTCCATTGACCTGAGTAAGGAACTCATCAGACAGGGTGAATTCAGCTTCCTAGGATGCTTTCACCATGTCTAGAGGACATAGCCCCATGCCGGACATCACATGCTGTTATCTGAGTTCTGGCGGTAGTCTCACCCCCAACCAGGGTGAAAGTGTTGTTAGATGCTTTCCTCCCAGCAAGGGAGGCTTTGCTGGGAGGGTGACACTTTCTCCATGTGATAGGGAAAGCATCGCGGAAAAGGAGCTGCACGCAAGGTGATAGATTTGCTCCACTGCTCCCTCTTTCCTCCCAGATGCCAAATAAAGTGGGACGTTTCGCTTGGCCTTTATGATGAAACTGTAAGACTGAAGTTGCACAAAGGCTTTGATCTATGCTGCAAGTGTAGTCAGCCATTCATATTTGTGGTTTAACTTGATTATTCACAGATTTGATTAATATGGTCACTCAAGGAATCTCTAGGGCCTCATCATAAAGGCCTGTCTCACTTTGGTTGGCTTTGCTGAGAAAGGAGAGGAGCAGCAAGGCCCCATGTATAGCTCCCTCTCAGTATCACTTTCCCTGACATGTGGGGGAAGCATCACCCTCCCAGTGAGACCCAAGCTAGCACAACATAGGAAGCCTCCCATGTTGTGGGGAAAGCATCCAGAAAGGCTTTAGCTCTGTTTGGAGACAGGGCCTCTGCTAGAAGTCACACAACGTTATGTGATGGCCGGCGTGGAGCTCCGTCCATTACACAGGGTGAAAGCATCCTAGGATGCTGAATTCCTCCCATCTGATGAGGTTGTTAGTCCTCCAGTGTTGACTCTGTGGTCAACTTCCAGCAGAGGAGGACCTAGAGCAGTGGTTCTTAACCTGTGGGTTCCCAAGTGTTTTGGTCTACAACTCCCAGAAATACCAACCAATTTACCAGCTGTTAGGATTTCTGGGAGTTGATGGCCAAAACTTCTTGGGATCCATAGGTCGAGAACCACTGACCTAGAGATTCTTAGAGAGAACACATATCTAGGAATCTCTATGACCAACTTCTGCTGGATTCCTAGGAAGGTGTATTCTCAAATATTTTTTTAAAACCACATTTTAATGTGCGGTTTCCCTTCTTTGGCAGAAGCCCTGTATCTCTAAGCCCAGTGAATATGGAGGGCTGATTGTAGAATTCAACATACCCTGTTCCTCAAGACAATGATGTAGCACAATGCCCAAAGCTCACTTACTGACCTAGTTTCTCATTCCTCTGTGTCTCAAGCACAAGGCACAAACAGGTACCTTTCCAAGCACATTTAGCAAAGCAAGGATTATCCAAATGTGGTTGGCTAGAGTTATTCATAGGTTTAGTTCATAGGGAATCATATTTAGGAAAACCTAGTGATGGAATATGACACAATCACAGTAGACCAACTGTAGCACCCAGTAAGTTTGAATCCTTTGACTAAATACTCTGCTGCTAGTTGTTGTATCAGTTGTTCATTTGTCTGGTTTGTGCATTTTTTAGCTTGGCAATGCACAGTGGAAAAGAATGTAGCAGTTCCTTGATAATTGTGCTTATTAACGTGTTAGAAACTGGCACTCCAGATGCTTGCAGTGATTTGCTGAGATATTACTTTGCATCCTAGATTACGGTCCGCAGCTTCTCCCTTTACAATGAAAACAAGGCCAGCTCCTCGCACTCCGATAGTGAGATTGTTAATAATATTCGGGACTGTGTAGGCACAGCTGTTAAGTGACGCTGAAGGAACAACTGTGGAGAGAGATAACCTTTGGATAATTGGCATGTTGTGCCGTTGCATGGTGTTAGCGACACAAGCGTTGTTTGTTTTGAGCCTGCCTGGAATAGCAGAGCAGATAGGGTGGGAAAATATCTTAATTACCCTGTGTAGCAAAGTATCATATAATGAAATGATTGTTTACCCCCGTCCCGGAAACCCAGGCCACCCAAGCCTTAAGACAAGAAGAACATAGATTACTCATTATGTGTTTGTTTATACTGTCTTAAGTGCATACCTCCCTTTCTCCTCTTAAAGGCATCCGTTTAAACAGCTAATGAAATATGAAAAGGGATGCTATTATAGTATTATTATTATTATTATTATTATTATTATTATTACGATCTTTAT